GAAAGACCCGAGCTAACATGGGGTTAGCTCGTTAAACAACAATAAAGTCTCATGCAGTTTACAGAAAAAAAAATGTTCTGACTATTATCACCACTGGTTACAAAATTTGAAGAAGTGATGGAATACTATGTATTTTATGCATTTTGAACTGTAATGGTCCATATTTGAATTTTGGCATTGTGTTTAATCCAGCCTATGCTCCACTGCACAGATTTTAATTTTTAACATAATTATTTTAGTTTTGATATTGTAATATAATTACACCCTTTCTTCCTTTCCTTTCTGACCTTTAAACTCTGCCATATACCCCTCCTTTCTCTCTTTCAAATCCTTTTTTTATTAACTGTTGTTACATACAAGCATACATGCACACATATATTCCTACATACATAAATACTCCCTGCTTAATCTGTATAATGTTATTCATATGTATGTTTTCAGGGCTGGCCATTTGGTAATGGATAACCAATTGGTATGCCATTCCTGGGGGGAGACTATTTCTCGCACTCTCAGCATTCCTTAGTTGTCTGTAGTTCTTTGTGTAGGGTTCTGTGGGTTTTCTCCCATCCACTATGCATGTCTGTTGGTGTCATCTTTATTCACCTCATGTGTAGGCAGATGTGTTGGTAAGAGTTTATGAGTATACCTTCTGATATTCTTCAGAGACATACATAGACTACAGCAAACTCCATGATTCTCTGGCTCTGACAATCTTTCTGCTGCCTCTTCCAGCCTTAGGTATAGGAGTGTTTCATAGACACATTCACTGAGACTGACCTCCACAATTCACATTTTTATTAGTTGTGGTTCTCTATAATGATCTATGTCTATTGCAAAGAGAGGTTTCCTTAATGAGGGATAAGGATTACACTTATCTGTGGGTATAAGGACAAATATTTAGAGTGTAGTTAGGGATTATACTGATGTAATAAAGGGGTGGTTGTAGGCTCTCCTCTGATAGCCATGCCTTCACTAGCCTTGGGATGGATGGTACTGTCTCTTGTTGAGCAGCTTGTCTCAGCTTTGTCTCTTAATGAGCGGCTCTTAAGTTTAGTTAGAGAGCTGTTGGTTGCTGGGTTTTGCTAAGCTATTCTATTACCAATAAAAACTCTAGAGTCAGATATTGGGGTGAAAACCTTGTAGATCAGAGAAGCAGAGGAGGAGTGACCTGCTGATCTTCCCTTTCTTATCAGAGACCCAGTCAGCACCTCTTCTCTCCACACATCCCAGGAAGAAGAGCATGCAAATTCCAAGTCCCGCCTTTCTCCTTCCTCTCATTCTTCCCTATCCATATTTCTGGCTACTCTGTGACTAATTCCGGTCGCTGGCTCTGCCCACCAATTCAAAGGTAACTTTAAATTTGTATCAATATAAAAAAATCCAAACCAATGTAAATTTTTTTTAGATTACTTGCTGCTTTTTGGATTAAAGTAGATTCAATAATCTACCCTTTCCATCTATTATTCTTATCTCTCTTTTTCTTTCAGAAAGAGATCCCTTAATCTATCCTCTAAGACCAATAACAACCTGGAACTAATTCCTCTAAATAGTGAAAAACATCCACAACCCACAAAACAACCAAAACCCACCCACCCCACGTCTTAGGAATGTGTGTGTAGTGTTCCTAAAATTACTTCCATGTTGAGGTGCACAAATTTCACCAGTGAGACGTGGAGGGGGTCAGACATATAGTATATAGGAAAGGTAATGAGTCATATAGCAGAATATAGACTAATATAAAGGGGTTAATTTAAGTTATAAGGGCTAGCTGGGAATAAGCCTAAACTAAAGCAAGGCATTCATAAGTAATAAGTCTCCATGCCATTGTTGGGGAACTGGCAAAACAAAGAAAGTCTGACTACAGTTGGTCACCACCAAGAGATGCATGTTGATACTACATGCTTAGGGTTATGTGTCATGCTGATTGTTATGGTAGTGCATGTGTGTCATAGCTGGATAGGACTGCTGTTTGTTTCCTTCCTCAGAAGCTTGTATGGCATGAAAGCTAGTCCTCAAGTGAGAGGCTTTCAGGTTAGTTCCAGGTCAGGGGCCCTCTGGGCCTGGCTTCTAAAGTGCATGATGTCTTCATCAGTGGGGGCTCACCTTCCACCTCTGAGGGGCAACCAAGGACAATAGCAACAGCTTGTACTTTCTGGGGAGTCTCTGTGAAAGAACTCAAGAGACAGCTTCTGTGTATGATGATGGAGTTTCTCTTAGATGGTCCTTGGCTTTGGGGAAAAACATTGTCAGCCCAGACAAAAATTTATTTATACGCAGACTTACATTTATTATAGGGTGTTTTTAGGTATATTGTTAATAGTACGGTTTCTTATGAGTTTTTCAGACCTTGCTGGTTTTACCCTCCTCTCTTTGTTCTGTTTTTCTCTCTTCCTCCCCTAGTAAACCGTCTCATTTTTCCTCTTTTCTCAATAAGATCACTTGTACTCTGATATCTCCCTCTCTATTACTCCTTGATCCCAAAAAAATGGTTCCTTTTTACTCTCCTGGTTTCTGCTATTACTCCAAGATATATACCCCCATATGAAGGTTATGGGCTAGGAGCCTCAGATGAGATAGACCATGTTGGACTTTCTGGATCTGAGTTACCTCACTTAGTATGATCTTTTCTAGTTCTAACCATTTACCTGCAAAGCTCATGGCTTTGGTTTCCTTTATAGCCAAATTCATATGACCCAGATTTATACATCTTACCTGTATTTGGCTGTTGGCCTCTAACTCTTTGAAGATGTGATATGTAAATCTAAGTACTTAAATCATTATCAGCTTGGGATATGTGATAACAAAACATTAAAATAGTTCTTGTCTAGTCATATTTTTTCTAACCAGATAGCTATAAAAATAGCTGCTCATTAAACTCAGGATATGTTCATTAACTATTAACAAAGTGTCTAGACAATGCCACTCCAGTGGACAGCCAACTTTCATCTGGAATAATCTATTATCTGTTCCATATCTGATTTTCACCAAAGGCAAAAACATTCTCATTTCTATGACTTGAAACTGACCTATGTTGTCCCCATAGTCAACCCTGTCCTCTGATTCTTTTTGTTTGCTTTTTGCCCATGCAAAATGTGATGAATACAAAAATTTCTGCCCCCCCCCATTTCTCCCAACAAACTGCTCCTTTACAGAACTCTCTTTCTCACTCCCATTGCTGTTACAATAAAAAAAAAAGGGCTTTAGACTCATAGAAACCTGGGTTACAATTCCAGTTATACCTGTTGCTTCAGGCTCAGCGGGTTGATCCTTTGTATCCTCAGTTGTACAATGAAGCAACTGTAAGACAGTGAGGAGAGAAGAACAATGTAGAGTTGGATAACAAGGAAAACATTCCATGCATTTTAGTCTCCTTGGATTCCTCTGCAGTAGTCAAACAATCATTCCCTTGCTGCCATCTTATGGCATTCTCCCCTTCTGACTTCTCCATTGTATATCACCTCGACTGCACTCTAAGCACTTTAACAAAAAAAAAAAAAAAAAAAAAAAGCAATGCCTTTAGTTATTCTGAATTCTACTCTGTGTCTCTGGTGGCTTGAAAGGGAATGACCCCCAAGGGGGTGGCACTATTAGGAGGTATGGCCCTGTTGGAGGAAGTGTATCTCTGTGGGATGGGCTTTGAGGTCTCTTTTCTCAAGCTTCCGTCAGTGTGACAGTCAGTTGACTTCCTGTTGCCTTCAAGATGTAGCACTTTCAGCTATCAGCATCATTTCTGCCTGTATGCTGCCATGATGATAATGAACTGAATCTCTGAAACTATAAGCGAGCCACCTCACTGACATCAGACACCAAGATGCAAAGTTTGGAGTTTGTCTGGCTGGTTCTTGGTCTTGCTTCAGTCGAGTATTTCCTCAGTATGCTCATTCCCTAAATTTTAGAATGGTAAGGTATATCCTGTACCATTACATGTTAGTGCAACCAACGTTGGTGGCACATGCCTTTAATCCCAGCACTTGGGAGACAGAAGCAGGCAGATCTCAGTGAGTTTGAGGTTAGCCTGGTCTACAAAGCTAGTTCCAGGACTGCCAGGACTGTTACACAGAGAAAACCTGTCTCAAAAAAAAAAAAAAAAAAAGATCTGCTGTTTGATTGCCATGCATCTCAGAAGGGACTTAAAATAGTATGAGGCTGTTATAGAGTTGAACTAAACCTCTGAAACTGTAAGTGAGCCACACTAGTTAAATGCTTTCTTTATAAGAGTTGCTGTGGTCGTGATGTCCCTTCACAGCAATAAAAACCTTAACTAAGACAGTGTCTTTCCTTGTAATAAATGATCAACTGTTGGTTTTTGTTCTTAATGCAGTAGGTCATATCACTAGTCCTTCCATCAATCCTTTTCTTAAGCTTGTCTTTCTCCATGTATAGTTTCCCAAGAATACCACAGGGAGTGAAAGCTGGACCAGTAAGAATCGCAGCCTCAAATAGAATTCAACTCCAGCCAACTAAGCGTCTCTAACAAAGGTCTACTTTTAGATGTGTGTGGGCAGAGATAAGAGAATCAGAAAAACATGGTGAGGCACCTAGAAGCTAGCAACAGAAGAAGCTCCTGTATCCATGAGCTGGAAGACAAAATGCTGAGTAAAGGTGGGAGCTGTGGCCATGAAGATCCATTTGCCATGGGACAAAGAAAAGCAGAAGGTGTTTCAGGGGACCTAATTGCCTGAATTTACTCTCCTCTCATACTTTGATCTCCTGTTGGTGTTAATTATTCACTGAGTCTACTCAGAAGTTCTGGTATGTGATCCCTAGAGATGAGAGTGTGGAGTTAAGAAGGAAGGGGAGAGAACTGATCTTGGGTGGGAACAAATGAAGAGTTACCAATGCAGAGCAACCTTCCTCTGTGTGACCAAGTGTCTCAGAATGTGTCATGTTGCCTCACAGCACAAAACAGAAGGTAGGAGGAGTTCCAAAAGACTGGTCAAAGTGAATATTCCTGGCATTAAAACAAGTCAAAGTCATGAGCCTCCTGGCCTGTCACACACAGAAGGGTTTATACAGACCTAGCAGAAAACAAACCAAGATGGAGGTAGTTTACAGAGGGTCTTTCAACATGGTCAAGATCATAAGCAAAAGAAAGAAAGGGCAACATCTTCACATTAAATGGGGATTAAAAGAGGCCCCCAAACTAAGTTCAACCTGATACACTTGGTGTGAAATTAGGTGAGAAAAATTATTGTACAATTGGCAAATTTTCATGGAATCTTTGGGTTAGAACACTGTGGTGCTCTCACCTTGAGCACTGTGTCATGAGAAAAGGAGAGGATGCCAAACATCTTTTTTCTGTTGAACAGTCACATGCACTTGGAAGTAATTTGTCACAAAGGGTCAGTGTGCACACATTACTTTAGAGAGATGGCATAAAGCCTAAGAGCACTGGTTGCTCTTCCAGAGACTCTAAGGTTCAATTCCCAGCACCTACATGGCGACCAACAACCATCAGTAACTCCAGTTCCATGGGATCAGATGCCCTCTTCTGGCCTCTGTGGGTACTTTGGGCATGTGGTATTTATATGTGCAAGTCAAGCTCTCATACACATAAAGTAGAATTAAATTAACCTTTTAAAAATATGTTTTGTGTGAAAGGGGGAGGATGGATAGATAGATAGATAGATAGATAGATAGATAGATAGATAGATAGATAGATAGGTAGATGATAGATTGTGTGTGTGTGTGTGAGAGAGAGAGAGAGAGAGAGAGAGAGAGAGAGAGAGAGAGCATGAAATTATATATTAGGAGAAGAAGAACCAACAGTAGACTAAGTATGCTGTTGACAGGAAGTACTCATTTGCATGGAGAGAATTGGTCCCCCACTGTCTCAGTGGAGTCTCATCAAATACATGCTTTTCAGATGGCTGTAGGCACCCAATGACTCCTACCATTATAGAGAGAATTCTATGCTTCTCATGACAATTTGTCTGAACATTATTAGCTGCTTCTCATTCTTACTAGAAATTAAATTGTTACTTTAAAACTGAAAGAAATTAGGTGAAGGAAAAGGTCCTGCTATGTCTTGGTTGGAAGACTTGGCATGAAACTGGAATTTTCTGCCTCTTATGTAAGGAAGTGAGTAAATGATGAGCATAATATTTATGCCAGCCTTACAATAGAATTATTTTCCACCTCCAAAATAGAACTGCTAATATAACATTTGCTCTCTGGGGTGAAACAGTATGCTTATTTAGCCACTATTTCATCCTATCCCCCAAGCAGTTGTTTGAAAAGACTATGATTGCATATATTGAGCACACATGTCTTTTGGAAGTCAGAAATAAAACCAATAACTGCAATTATTTTCCATTCAAGGAAGGTACAAGTAAACCTACTATGACTCTGAGCAAAGCTGGGATGCAAAGCTAGCTCTAGGATGCTTCTGATGAGACCAAGGACAGCATATTTGTTGCATGGTCATTGCTTCTTATGTGGGGAATTTAGAGATGGGGAAGCATCCATGTTTTTCATGCTATCTACTTCAAAGATTTACACAGGACTCTCAGAAAAAGAAACAATTCTATGAAGCCATCACAGTCTAGACTTGAGGGAGAAAGCCTGATATCCAAGTAATATTTTATTAGGATTAAGAGGCCCAGTTACTTCATATTAGCTTAATTGATACCCTTCACAGCATTATAATTTTAATGTACTTTCAATTCAGCAAACAGGTTTTAAGTGCCTACTGTGTCCCAGGCACCATAGAAAACTTGATCAAATAAAACTGCTTCCCAGGTCACCATTTCCTTTTTCCAGAAAAATATGATCTAGCATGTGCAATTTCTATCAACATAGGACTTCATTTTGGTTACATTTTATTTATTTCTTCTGGAAGGGTGCATGTGTGCCATTGTTGTAATTTTTAAAGAAGTGCCACATGAAAGATGCCATGTGACATAGTTCAAATGGAGGTTTTTTTAATTATTATTAGAGAAAGGGATCATAAAAAGGGGAAAGGGGCGGGGGAGCAGCCTCCAGGGACAGGAACAGCAGTAGAGAGGAAAGAGAGGCAGAGAGAGAAAGAAAGAGAGGAGGATGGGAGGTAGGCAGGGCCCTTTTAAAAGGGAATGTAGTAAATGTGCACAAGTGGTGCTCTTAGTGGCTGCAGTTGAAGGTGTATCCTGTCAGAATCCCAAGGGCAGGCCAGTACAGATGCCTGAATACTAACACAGGGATTGTGTAGAGGTCAGAGCACAGCTTGTAAAAATCAGTTCTCTTTCTTTCCACCACGTGGCTCCCAGGAATCTAACTCAGTCCTCAGGCTTGGTGTCAAGTGGTTTTTTTTTTTTTCTACAACATATCTCATCAACCCCCAAATAGGACTTCCTCTAAGAACTATACTGCAGGAAGGAATATTTCAGGATATTCACTAAGAGTATGGCTTGGTTGTTACTGAGGACTAAAAGGAGGGCCCATTCATTAATAGACTAAAGAGCTGCAGCCTCTAAAATTCCTTCTTAGGTAGTTGGGTCACATAATAATTTGTTTGTTAAAGTATATTCTTTTGTTAAGACATAGTTGGATATCAAAACCACAATTTTGACTACTACATCTGGTTTGGTAATGCAATCTGAAATAAACAGGTGTCCTGTTGACTAGCATAATTGCCTTGCAGTGTCTTTGAATTTATTGATAAGAATGATTTACTGCAACTCCAATCCTAATCTCAGAAGATCTTGGGTACATTTGTAACAATAGCCTGACATCATCAGAATAAATTCACAGTTTCCTAAGGGGAAAAGTAGCATTGACTTGAATGATTGGATACATTCCACCATTTTTGTTAAAATAAATAATTAACCTCACAGTTGTATAGTATCCTTATATACTTGAATTTTAAGACCTACAATAATATAATGTGACCATTGAGGTTACTATAGAACTTTTTTTTTTACAGTATGGTAAATGCTCATGCTAAAGTGTTATGGGCTTGATAACCTTGAAGATAGTTCATAATTCCTCCATGGCATTAGCACCTGTAATTTCTTCTCCCATATTTAGTCAGCATGACCAGCATAGCACCCCATAAGGGCACTTTTGAGTTTTTTTTTTTAAATACTGTAGCTTCTATATTAAAAGACTCTTTCTCTCCCTCCTTACTCTCTTCTCTTCCTCCCTCCATCCTTCCCTCCTGTGTCCACTCTCTTTAAGGGAAGGTCAGCTGTCATATGAGCAACTCCATGGAGACACATGCCTGGTCAGGAACTGTAGTCTCTTCTGTCAATAGTCACAAGAATGAAGTAGAAAGCTATTTCTCAAGCCTCTAACATCACCAGGACAACCTTGTAAGA